ACGCAATAATAACCATAATAATAATAACCATGATAATAATAACCATGATAATAATAACCATAATAATAATAACCATAATAATAATAATAATAAAAACCATAATAATAATAATAATAACGATGTTGGTGATGATGATTCTAACATCCATGGCTACATTAACTGCCGTAGATCCTCTGATTGTAATAATAATAATAATAATTATGTCAAGAAAATAATTAATAACAATAATAAAAATATTATCGATAAAGGTAATAATAATAATAATAATAGTAATAATAATAATGATGATGATGATGATGATGGTGGTAATGGCAATGATGATGCCAGCAAATTTTATGAAAATAACAACCACTTCAGCAGCTTGCAAGATATCAAATTGCCAAAGTATGTTTTCCTGGTTGCTATTATTATTATTATTATTATCATTATTATTATTATTATTGTTGTTGTTGTTGTTTGTTGATGGTTCGTACGTTGATGATGTTGGTTTTTGTGTATATTTGTTGTTGTTGTTGTTGCTGTTGTTGTTGCTGTTGTTGTTGTTGTGGTGGTGGCGGTGTGGCCGTCGTAGTTATTACTGCGGTTGTCGTCTTTGTGGTGCAGTTGTGGCTGTCGTCTTTGTGGTGCAGTTGTGGCTGTCGTCTTTGTGGTGGCTTTTACGTTATAATCAGTCAATATAATTTGAAGTGAAATAAATTGTCAACAAGAAATCTTTTAAAATAGTAAAAAATTAATTTAAATGCTGTCCAAAATATGAGAATGTGATGGGCCAGCATTTGTCTTTTTGTCAAGCTCACTTTATAGCTTGCATCTTCACTCAATTTATCAGCAGACAGTTAGTTGGCAAACTGACCGGAGATTCTTTATTCTACCACAGTTCCCAACATAATTCTCAACAGTTTTTAAAAAAAAAAACAAAGGCTCCTGTCTAAAATGTCCATCTACTCGCAATTATCATCATCGTAGATATCTCTAACTTTTTCGCCTGCCCCACCCCACCCCACCCCAATTTCCCTAATTTTGCAGATTAGTGAAGATCCCCAACAAAAAGATCGATCTACTGGCCAGGCTGCCGAATGTCATATACAGCTCGGTCATCTATAACAAGTATCTCCTCTCATGGTTCAAGCGGTTCGGCATAATCAGCAACTTCCGTCTGCTCGCTTTCAAATCGAGGAAGCACGCACATCCCCTATTCGAGTTTGACCTCGTGGGCTGTGACCTCGAGGTCGTCGTCAAAGAGAGTTATAAGTACAAATACGCCGTCCATATTTACAAGTTAGTTATTCGCAGTTGTCGTCTGGCTGTTATTAGTTAATAATTATAATCATCATTATTCGTATCGTAATTATAATTATAAAAATAATTATAATTACGATACGAATAATGATGATTGATAATTATTGCTAGTTTATTAATTAAATGTGTCACCGCGTGACCTAATTAAGGCCGTGGGCTATGGAAAGTTCGACGGGGTCGGCGGGTGCCACAAACGGCGCCAACTTCTACCACAACGTCAGCAACAACAGCAGCAGCAGACCGAACAACAACAACAACAAGCACAACAA